CACGTTTGGCTCAGACACCATCCCCGTTCCCTCCCTGCTGTGCTGCCAAAGGCGGGGCGGGGGGGGGCACAGCCCTGGGGAAGGAGCAAAGCCGCCCTGGTGACCTCCTTTTGGAGCACAAACAACCCCATTCTGCCAGCGCCCGACCCTCCTGCTGGGGTCCCGCTGCAGCACCCGGCAGGAGAAAGCAGGGAGTCCAGCCCTGCACAAACTGCAGCCCCCCAGGGATGGCCTGGGTGGCAGGAGGGGGGACAGAGGGACAGCAGGTGCACCCTGCCCTGGCTGCCCCCCACCCGGGTACCACGGGGGTCCAGCCAGCCCAGCCCAGGGACCTTCCCCAGGTGCTTTCTCCTGCTGCAAATCAGGCCGCGGCACTTGCCAACCACGCTGCCAACTGGAGCATTCACAACAGCAACCCCCAAGATCAGATCGACAGCCAATTAACCCCGCTACTTAAGGGCCAGGCCCCCCCAGCTAAACCTGGGGAGTGGGGCAGGTTCCGACGGGGATGCAGCAGGGCATGTGGGTGCAGGGAGATAAGAAACCACTTATCTGCAGGAACACGGGAGGGGACACTGCGTTCCTGACAGCAAACGGTTGTGGTAACCCCAGGGTTTGCATATCGGTAAGAAAATTCCTTGTTCTGGGGTTTTCTACCCCATCCTGCAGCTGGCAGAAGGGAGCTAGGAACCGCCAGGGAAGGAGGGGGGGTCCCTGGGGCTGGGCTGAGCCACATCCCGTGTGAGCCACCCACACAGCACCCCAGGCTGCGCTGGCAGGAGCGGGGCACACGATGCCATGCAGCTGCCTTGGGGACAGGAACGGGGCACACGATGCCATGCAGGCACCCCGGGGACAGGAATGGGGCGCACGATGCCATGCAGCTGCCTCGGGGACAGGAATGGGTTTGCCAGCTCCATGCAGAGACCGGGTTTGGTTTGATGGTGAAATGGAGGGCGGTGGTGCTGGTTCCCAGAGCAGGGACAAGCAATGGCCTCGGAATTTAGCTCAAATCCAAGCAGGATGCTCCAGGCTGTGGGGAAGGTGCAGGAGGCTTCAGGGCCATCTCGAATGCCTCGAACCAGCCCAGAGCAGCCGGTTCCAGAGGGGCTAGAGGAGATTTATTGAGCATGGCCTGCATGAAAAATGCCCCTGCTAATCCTGCCCTGACAGAGCAATAATCCCTCCCTCTTTGCTTCATCAGAGCCCAAACCCTGCAAGGGTCCCACCGCTCTGTGGCTTTGCAGAGGGCTGTGGGTGGCAAGCGCTGGGGGTGGGGATCCCACAGGACCCCCCCAGGGAGATGCTGGTGCTCTGTGGGCAGCACAGGGCTACCACTGGCCACCCACCGCCAGCCCCAGCATGGCACACACATGCACGTACCTTGCCCTGTGAAACCCAGGACCAGCTGCCCACAGCCCTGGCTCCAGCCCAGGGCAGCAGCAAGGGGCAAGTCTGGGGGCAGCAGCCCGAGGGCCAGCACTGGGTGCAGGGCATGGCCACATTGGGCGCAGGGCATGGCCACACTGGGTGCTGGCTCCAGCACGTCCCCCCGAGAGGGGAGGGGCG